GTCATCTTGGATTACGGTGGACGCCACCAGTTAACGGAAGTGACTTCCACACAGTCTGACTTCTTTTTGCCACCCAAGGAGTGCAAGTTTAAGACACTTCTTCGCCTTCACTTTTTCTAAATGAGTAGTTGTGTTGTAGTACGGTATATTTGTCTCCAATAATTGTCGGCCTCAGACCAGTCTCATGGTCGTCAAGTAAAGTCTTATTTTCACACTGGTGTTAGTAATATCAAGAGCTATATTTTTTAAAGAGCAGTTATTATATTACTATATGTGGTTAAATCACACGTTTTACTCAGAACCTCATATAATACTGAAATACTTCACATCTAAAGAGAGGGTAGTTCCCAGTACCACTTCAGCACCGCTGTATTTATATATTTCTCTCACTGCTTCCCCGTGTGAATGTTCCTCCTTTGTTTCTCGATTGTGGATATTTGTGGATATCTTTTTCTATTTTTTTCTGTGCTCGTACTTGCACTCATGTAAACCATTCCACCATCAGACGCAGGCACATATTGTTTCACATATTGTTTCACACATTTATTCGTGGCTTACAAATCGTGGCTGCTGGCGGCTTGGCTACGAGCCCGCTGTCACGGTTACGTAGCTATAAACTTGAACCTGAACACTGGAGGCAGGTCAGTGCAACAGGAATTACCGTCAACCTCGATCACTCCATTGCATCATTGCTTCTAGGGCCAATAATGGGTGCTTTTTGTCTGGCTCAAATTCTATTACACCTGCAGCAATCAGGAAAGCAAATGGTATTAAAAGGTCAGTGAACAGGGTTCAAGAACCTAACCAACGTCCTGCAATATTTTATAATTCAATAGTCTGTGCTGACTCATTCTTCAGTTTTGAAATTTCCACAGGAGCAAACAACAAGTGAACCAGATTATGAAAATCATTGATGTGGCGAGCCCAAAAACATATGCAGGGTCGATAACGGCGGCTGTATAAGTCAGACATGCAGTCAGTCAGACCATTTATAATACTGAATTGCTGTTGGCCAGAGACCAGAGCCCGACATGAGGCTGATCGCTTGCATTTTCTACAGAGACAGAGACATGTGCACACATAGGATGTGAAAGAGAGTGTGTGTGTGTGTGTGTGTGTGTGTGTGTGTGTGTGTGTGTGTGTGCGTGTGCGTGGTGCGTGGTAGTGGTGGAGACAGAGAGTCTAGAAGTTTAAGAGTGGGAACGTGTGAGTAGATAACTCGATTGACACATCAGAAGAAAACCGCTTTCGTTTCAGACTTTGCTGTTTGTGGATCTATACTACATATTTCAAATACAAGTTGTTTGTTACTTCTTGTTTTCTGGCTTCATTATTAACATATTTCTTCCTGCACTTACTATCTGCTTGTGATGCTGATATGAGGGTTTATGTAGAAATAATCTCTTTCTATACAAACTAGTGTGCAAAGATATTGTAGAGCAAAATTCTTTCTTTCTAAGGGGGCTTGCTGTTGTTGCCACCCTATTGAGCAGCAGATTGTGGCAATGTAAGCCTTTAGGCTCGACTTTATCACATGATGGATCACACCCATAATCGTCTTAGCAATCTTTTGTCTGCAAACTGGCGAGCTTTCCTTCCCCCCGCTCTGGCAATATATTGAGTGATTCTTTCTACAGATGAAGATGGTTGGAGAAAGAGGCTGTTAGAAGGAGTTTTCCTCCAGCAGTTCTAAATGGATGATGAAATCCACTCGGGTTCACATGTGGTCTGTATGACCCAGTTCTTTGGTCTCATGTGAGTTTTGACTTGAGGGTTGAGTCGTTACCACTTTGACAAGTGTGACAAGTTAAATGTATGTTCAGCTTTACACTTTTATATTGTCATTGAAGAGATTGATTTGTTAAATGTTGCACAAACTACTTAGACAAATATGGCATTTATTTGTCCAAAGGAGTAAAATCACAGAGAATATCGGCCAGAATCTACTCTTATTTACACATGTGCACTGTGGTTGCTAACCTCTGGTCCAAAGGCCGAATCAATGTCCTCATTTTGTCCAGATTTCTGAAACATCCCCGTAGCTGTTAGGAAATGAAACTAAACAGCCAGATAGAAATTATTTTCTTCATGTTTAAAGAGTAACAGACCAAAAAGACCATTTATTAGCAACTGTTTGCAGACCATCTGTACTGCGTTTGTGTGATTGGAATACTGTTCTGTTATTCTAACTCTCCCTGTTATTGGTTAACTCATGTTTGCAGAAAGTGCCAAAAGGATAGTGACCACATACATGTGCATGTTTGCTTTTCCTCTGTCCTTTTGACAGCCTGCGCTTTGTGATCATCTCTTCTGCCATTCACTGGTCTGTTTTATATAAACCCTCTGGAATAAGGACCTGACAGCCACAGCTCCCAAGGTAATGGCTTTCTAACTTTTGAGAAATTTGAGGTCACAAACCACGGGGACATAAATCATTGGTATAATCAAAAAAAAAAAAAAAATCAAATGGGTCACACAAATGAATGTCTAAAGCACAGTAATATCCGTGTTGAATGAAGAGCCTGGGACCATCTCCTCAGCACAGAGGCATTGCTCTGCTGATCATACGCCGGTCGAGTCGTATATCAGACGTCTGAGGCCCAAATAATGCACATCATACCACCCAGAAACTACATATCCAGCTCTGGAGATGTGATGGTTGTTTTTGTGTTAGCGGGAATGTTGTTTCCGTATCTGGCTGGACACAGATAGAGGCTTGAAACAAAAACAGGAATTACTTATTGGCTAGGAATGGTTCGCATGACCTTGGTCTAGGCGGGCTGGAGATAAGCTCAATGAAGAACTCGAGGAAGGAGAGAGCTGCTCTAGCTAGAGTTTGGTTTATAGAATTTGTTTTATCCTCAACTTTAAATATTCAAAGAACTTAATCTGTTGATTCTTTGCTAAATAACCTTGCTTTCTTGCATTTACTTTGATTGGAATAGACACATTACTTGTACGAGAGACTGAATCGTTTAAACAAGAGGAAGGTAAAGAGACGAATGACATCTCTGCCACGAGATACTACCGACTATCGATACCATTAGATCAATATCTTTTTAGCACTGTTTCTTATTACGCCAGATGACCATATTGCTCCTTCATTCCATTTGGGGTGATTACGCTCGTGTCTGTTTGCTATGTACAGATATGAGACTTCTTCTAAGTCTTCTTTTTCAACTTTTGGCCTCACACAGCTGCAGTGTAACAGCAATTTCTGTGTCTATATAAAGCTTAATAGGCAGCTACATTTATGACTTAATATACAGTTAAATTCCAGTGTGTAACAACAGTACAGATGTGATCGCTGAGTGCCTGATGAAAATGGCGGAAGTCCATTAAAGAAAAACAACCTTTTTTTTCCCCGAAAGCCAAACGATTGCATCACTAAACGGATGTTTTGTTCCTGATGAAGGAACAAGGACAACATGACAATCTTAGGTGGATTTCAGTCCGGTTAACATTAAATATATTGAAAAATGGGAAGTAAAAGCGTTGTTTACTCCGATGCTCTCTGCAGTCTGCCCCTGCATGGGATTTAGTAGTCACGTTGGTTTATTAGCTGCAGGCAACCCGCGAAAGCAAACGCCACCCTATTGAGCAGATACTCAAATAAATGTAGGAGGAAAACTGAATTAGCAGAGTAACCTAAGATGGAAGGCATGACATTTGATCTGCTGCCATGCAACAATCAGGCTGTGAGAAGCCACATGACACGTCCCAGCTGGTTTTGAGGATGGCATTCAGGCATTTCTGATCTGAGTAAAAGATATGCACATATTGAAATTGAACTAGCTTGATAAACATGCATTCCTAAGAACAGTGGTGTGTGAATCTATTCGTGTTAGTGCCCACAGGTTTTAGAATGAGATTGATTGCTGTGATGAATACTTAAGGCAACTGAACCTACGAGTACATGCTTGGTTGTATTCGTGTGCACATGGACATGATGTGTCAACATGTTGTATGTTTACAGAGATTCACCATAACGACTTCAAATGATTTGAGGGATATTAGACGGTGGTTTAACTTAAGTATTTGTATGCCTGTGCATGGGGCCTATATATATATATATATATATATATATATATATATATATATATATATATATACATACATTTATTTATTTATTCATACATATTCTATTAAACTGTTCAATTGTTAAATGCGTTTTAGATTTATTATTCATAATTTTGCTGAGACTGTAAAGTCCAAATGTGAAGCAGAACAGGGGAAATTCAAGCTTATCTTCCCGTTACTTTATTTTTTATGAATCGAAGCAGAACTTTCTTTTTCTTTTAAATACAGCGCTACTTTTATTCAGTTAATTGAGAGAACATTATATATATTTGCCATCCCACATTCTAGTGGAATACCTCTGCACTGCACGTGACTGTGGCGGAAAAACGCTTTTGCTGCTCCAGAAAGCTGCGGCTGCGGCAGCTGCTGATAATGATGATGTTAATAGAGGGGTTGGGGCTTTTTTTTTTTTTAGTGCCTTTCTTGATGTGAACTAGAGCTGATGAGACATAAAGGAAAACACGCAGTCACACCGGAGGTCTTGCGTTAAAACGTTGCAGAGCGCAGGACACTTTCACGGATTTCATCACGATGGCTCGGAGAGAAGGAACAAGTCGGTCGTTTCATCGACCAGAACATTATTTAAACTAAGGCCGATCTTGTTTCTGACTCGGAAGAAAGGAAAAGGTAATACATGTGATTACACCATTCAAATTGGTGTGCAGCGGGACGCCGCTACGCCGTGTTTTAGTCGACAACAACAACGATGATGATGGTGGTTGGTGGTCATGATGGTGGTGGTCGCGGTGCTTCATGTTGGCCAACCGGTGGTCCATGATCGCCCCTGACCTCAGCCGGATTACCTCAGCATTGTTCCAGCGAACCCCCGGTACACCTCGATGTGGTTCCACATGAGCATTCATCTCGGTTTCGGGCCACGGATTAGCGCTTTTCCGAGCCGGTAAACCTAAACTCGTGTCCGACCACAACAACATTCGTCTAGGCGGAGGTGTTGTCTCGCGCCGCGGCGGGCCTGCCGAGCCGGATCGAAGCGAACGTCCCACTCAGCCAACGTAACGCCGTTAGCATAGCGACGGGAAAGCTAACATAACGGTTTGCGGCTAACTAACTGCTGCCTAGTCGCAGTTCGTTTTCTCTACGTGTGTTCAACATTTTTTTGGGTGAGGAGGGTACATATCGGGTATCGAACGTTATTCTGGTCGGCATATGTTCGTATTACAGAGTGTGAGCGTAGTTTACGACAAACCTTCAGCTGGGTTTAAATAGACGCTTGGGGAGATAAGAGGAACCGTTGCCGTTAACTAAGTTCTAGCGTTGAACGGGGGGACCTGAAAGTTCCCGTGTTTGCAATGCTAACTTAGCTCCTCGCCTCCCGTGGCCGTTACCGGGAGCTAACGTTCGTTTGGCGACAACGCGACACGTAACCAACTAACCTAATGTACGTGCACGGAACCGGTGTCAAATGAAACGCCTTTGGGACCGTTCATAAGAAAGACGTTTGATGGTCGAAGGTCCCTGAAGCCCGTGAAGTTGGTGTGGTGAGTTCAAACGCTTTTACGTTCATGTGGGACCATCGCGGACCTTTTCTTTCTGCTGCTATCGTTAAATATTTAAAAACCCAAAAAAACAAAAGTAAAGCCAACGTCAAATGTGTAACGTTAGTCTTGAGCGGTCTGCATTAGCTAGAAAGCGAGTGAATCAAGTAACTTTATAGTAAACGGTTCCATATATTCCACAAGAGTTTGTTATTCTTTTCCCCATGCAAAATACCTGATCACATTTAGGGTATCGGAGGAAGGTTATTGAGTCATTCAATACGTTTAATAGTTAATAAGTTGTTTTTTCTTTTGCGTGGGAATCCGAGTATTACGAGTTGCATTCTCACTTGGTGGATAGCATCTGTTGGATTATGAACTGCATAATCCATGCTTTTTGCAGAAGTTTTATCTGAGCTCAACTCTGATTACACTGTTAAAGTTCCTCATTTTAAAGCACCAGATGGAATTTAATATATATATATATATGCAACAACTGAAATATTATGCACCGCATGTTCGGTTTCAACGGGGGATATGTTTAATGGAAGCTGTAGATTATGCTGCAATAATGAAAACATCTGTGACTAAAAGGAGTTGCACAGGACTGACTACTAAAGCTAATGAAATATGTTCAAAACACAAGCCAGGCCGGACGGACTCTCTGGTGAGTCGTGGTTGTCTTGTCTGCTGTTGGGCAACATGTAGATTGGGAAATGTTTAATCAATGATTTAAATCAACAGCTTTGACCCCGGTTATTTAAACACCACCATACTTTCTTCACCATTGAGGGTGGGGTTTCCCGTAAAGCGCTAGTAATGTTACTGTTTCGACGACAGACAGTCTTTTCCAAGAGATGCTTGACGCAAGTAAGAAGTAGGACTACGTCATGTTTCACGAAACGATATGAACAGAAAAAATGTAACCCCTGCATTATCTTCTCTCCGCTTGTTATTACACATGTTTATCAGGATTCAATTTAAATAAACCCGCTAATGTTTCTTATTTTCCCCGTACTTATGTGTCCCCGTACCCTTTTGTTTTCTCAGGTGATGCCCTGGATGGTGCCATGTGAATGACTGACGACCATGAAGCCAACTCACAAGCTGCTGTTCGTCCTGTGCCCCATGCTGGTCCTCGGCTTTATTTACTACTCCTCTGGGAAGCTACATCTACACGTATGGGGCCAGAAGCCTCGTAAGTCGCCTCTCCAGACTGACTGTTTGTAACGTTGATTCATCACCTGATCATCCATCTGTCATCATTCAGCTAATGTGTTTGACAACTGTCTGTGTTTTGCCTCTCCGTGCAGACTGCCAAGTAACCGTCCGTCTCTCTGTCTCTTTGCTGAAGAATGTCAAGCTGTGTGTTGGTGTCTTTAAACCTACGTATCTGTATCTCGATTAAAATTGGTTGTTCATTCACTTCACTAGAGTGCTGGATGTGGTGGGGAGAGCTTAATTTAATATTCTTGTACGCCCGGTGTTGGTAGCTCCATGTCCACCACTGAAAACCAGCCGACGATGGTTGTCTCACTAATGGAAAGCTATTGGCGGTTTCAGTAGGGATACCTCTGGTTTAACCGGGGAGGTGACGGCCTTTTTTTACTCTCTTATGCAACACACTCATTCTCACGTCTGCAGTTTGTGGATTGGAGGAAATGTCATTTCTCGATGTCAACACATGGATGATGAAACCAAAGCTCTTAGCACAAAATCTACAGTTTTGCAATACCCTTCATATCATACTGAGGAGGCACATCTTCCACTTCCTTCTCGAGGGTGCAAGATCAGATACTGGGAGCGTTTTCGATGGCCTCCCAACGTGGTCGGCGTCTCACTGCGAGCGCTGATAACGGGGCTGCCACATTTTCAAAATGGCCAGTGCTGACAGAGCGAGCAGTGTTTCCCTACCGGGGAACCTGAGGGTAGCACCTACTCCTCCACAACAATGGCACAGAGAGAAGTGCGAAGCCGGCGACTGCTGACTGGCAGGGCATGCTTACACCGAATGTTAAATACAGCTCCTTTTGCAAAGTCAACAGATTATTGTGGCTGTTGCTCATGAATCCTGGTGATCTCCATGTAATGTTGTGTATCCTGAGAACAGTTGAGAATGATAATGATGATAAAGATATTTCTTTAAGCAACGTATTTGAACCAACGCGTGATGATGGTAATGCTTATTTGGGGAAGGAGCACGCTGTGGCGCTTTTAACATCCAGCAGAGGGCGCCAGAAGATTTCTGAGAACATATTTGAAGTATATTTTCTAGGACATTCTCCTGGAGGAGCGTTTTACACAGAAAACACAAAATGTTTGTGTTTAGAATTTTATTTTGATTGCGACCATAGATGGAGGGACGGCATGCTTTTTAAAAAAAATTTTTTTTAAGTGTGCAGAATGTTTTGTATCTGACAGAAAAACATTCATTGTATTAATGCTTTACATGCAGAGATATGTGCCAGATGGTTGCTCAGATTGCACAATGAGTAGTGATTTGATGTCTGTAATGAATGCAAAGATTCCACTGTTCAAATTGCATTAAAACTCAAAAGCTCAGATTTTATTAATTTGGCCATGTGGGCTTTTATACTAGGACGCTTGTCCTAAAATTAGATTAAGCAAGAAATTGTGTGGATATTTTGTTTAAGTATTGCAATCTGTGTATCATGGCAGGTATGAAATTGTCAGATTTCTCGTCAATATAAAGCTGGAATTGGGATTTGTAGTTTCTTGTAATGCTTGCCGTAACCATCTTGCATTGGCCTGACACGGCAACGAGCCGGATCCTTTCAGGTCCACTGATTTGCCAAATGCTTCCTGTGCCGTGCAAAAAAAGGTAACACGGCTATTGAGTTAAAGGAAGTCCTCACCTGTTCCCTATTATTGCCCAAATCTGTCAGCGGTGAAAGTATGGACTTTATGCCAGTAAAAGTAAAATTCCAGCACATTTAAATATGAAGCTCTCCCATATCACTCCCATGACACACTGCCGTCCAATGCGCACACAGCTTTGTCAACCTGCCCATTGCAAACCGCTTGTATTGTTGAACTCGATCGGCCCTCCTACCGCAGAGTCCGCGCTGTTCTGTTGCAGCTCCTCCACGTTGTAGTATCACTGACTGCACGCCTGACCAGCGGAGGACCGTGGTCCACATCAAAGCCATTTATCAAGCTTGGAACAAGGTCTCTGTTCAACAAGGCTCACGTTTTCTGTTGTGTCTCCTTCCAGTTTGTCTAAAGCTCTATTAGTAAGTTCGGGACACCCTCCGATGTGCGCAGAACCAAAAGATCACTCTTTTCCTGACTTGCATTTCAATAGCACGTAGCTATAGGAGATGAGCTTCAAATGCGGTTGCAAATGATGTCTTTCTGCTTCACTGTGGAGCCAGATGTTTTGCTCTATCGCGGCCAAGAGCGGAAGAGAAGCATGCTGATGGTGTCTCCTGCCCTCTGCCCGGGTCAGCTGAGCTATGCCGTCGCACTGAGAGGATCAAATCTGGATGATCTCTCTTCCTCATTCTTGACTTGCGGACTCGGCCACCGACAAACGGAACACACAGAGGCTTATGTCCTGCTCATGGTAGACATCTAACGTATGCTTTTCTCTTCCCTGTCTGTCTCCTTGCAGCAGAGAGCACTGGTGTGAGATGGTGTGGCGCCTTCCTCAGTGGGCTGATGGCTTGTCCCCTTTGTAATGTATCCAGACTTGTTAACTTAACGTTGCATGAGGCCACTGATCAGATGTGTGCTTGATTCCTGTTTCCTGTGGTGGTGGTGTTGTTGTTGTTGTTATTATTATTATTATTATTATTATCGGCTTTATTTTTAGCCAACGGCCAGATGCAGCTTTCCCTTCTTTTTGCTTCTTTTGAATATCTGTGTAACTATTGTAAAAAGACAGCAGGAGCTCTGTCTGCGGTGGTTTGGGTCGGGAACCGGAGGGTCGTGCCGTCAGGTTGGGTACAGATAGGGAGTGTGGACCGGTAGCTGCAGTGGTGCTACTTGAAACCGTTTTCGTGCTTTATAAATATGTATTTTATCAACCGACAACAGATTATCAACTGTGTGTTGTTTTCAAGACACTTATTTTTGTTTTAATTTCATCACAGTCCTCCACTTTGCTTTGATTAAAATGCAGCGCGGCACACTTTTGATATCACCGCTTCCTGCAGTGCAGTCGCTCGTAGTTTGCTTTCTTGATAGTGATGGGAACACCGCTCTGGGGTGTTAAATAACACTTGAAGTAAGCACCTGCCGGATGTGAAACGGAAGTGTTCCACCACCCATGTTTGCAGTTTTAGGCCAGAACCTCCCACGCTCTTGATCCACCCCCCCCCCCTCCCTGAACTGCTTTTCTAAAATAAAACAGTGCAGGTTTTGATCAGCGCTCGCACACAGACACCCTGGCGCCTCCGGCGTGTTGTGAAAGAACACAGTGATGTACAGCAATTCTTCTTCTGCAAACTAAGATGCAGTGCTTCTGGTCACAGGAACGTGCTTGTGTTCTGTCATTCAGTCATTTCAGCGTTTGGCTGGAACAACATCGCGACAGCCTTCTAAATGTTTTGAAAGAAGTGAGGGTTCGATTCCACCCAGTGGCCTTTCTGTGTGGAGTCTGCATGTTCTCCCCGTGTCTGCGTGGGTTCTCTCCGGGTTCTCCGGCTTCCTCCCACCGTCCAAAGACATGCTCTGGGGATCAGGTTAATTGGGGACTCTAAATTGCCCGTAGTTGTGTGAATGTGAGTGTGAATGGTTGTATGTCTCTGTGTTGCCCTGCGATTGGCTGGCGACCAATCCAGGATGTACCCTGTCTATCGCCCGAAGTTGGCTGGGATGGACTCCAGCCCCCCCGCGACCCTGTGTGCAGGATAAGCGGTTTGACAATGGATGGATGGATGGATGGAGGGCAACGTTTTCTAAAACCTGTGTTGGCTTTTGTCTGACGCTAAGCTAATATTCTTCACTAAGGTCCACAGTTTCATCTGTTTCGCAAAAACATATTCTGATGATCTGAAAGCAGATGTTGACGGGGAAACGTGCAGATGTTGCCAAGATCTTGGAGCATAATAAACACGTCTTGAAGTACGTTCGGACCAAATCACTGTGAAACAGGATTGCAACCAGTCATTCATTTGATTTTCCCAAACCATGGTACATGCGTGGCATTACTGTCGTGGTGAGCTTCAGAGGATCAGCTGTTTTGTCTCTTTCTATCTACGTGTCTCCCTGTTGTGTGTATTTGTGCGTAGCCGTGGTCTGTGTTCTGACTCGCTCGCTGCTGTTAAACTTTTAACACTACTTTTTATTGGTTATTAGTTTCTCCAACAGCTCCACAGCGATGCTCTTTGTTCAGTATCTTAAACCCCTTTTGTTTTCAGAAAGTGATGCAGAAGAGACAACTGTTGTCCTGACTAAAGGGTCTGAAGGGAAAAGAATCACAGGTTAGAGCCACTGAGACCGTCAAACTGGGTGACTGTCAAACTGTTGTCCAGCGGGTGACTTACTACACTGAGGTGTTGGGTTTTATTTTTCATGGAACTTGCATCTACGTTAACTCAACCACTTTCTTCTACTTATCATCATTTTTCTTTTGTTTCTCTACCAGACATTGTGGTGATCATCCACTCATTCAGTTCTTACAGGCAACTATTAATTTCTGCCATGATCACCTCAAAACACAATTTGGGCTTTTTCCGCAGTTAATTTTCCACCTCATTGGGCTTCCTGCCTTTTGAATAAAAAGGACCAGACTGTAGCTTTAACTAACTAAGCTGAATTATAATCCTAACTTTTCCTTCCTCCCCTCTTCTTGCTCTGAAATTGGCATCATTTTGAAGCCCAATGCTGCCATGACAGACTGACCTCAAAAGGTGCTAACTGACCATTTTGTGTTTCAGAGTTGGAAACGGACTTCCCCGTGAGACGAGTAGTAGGCTCAGGTACATCTGCGGCCCCACCAACAGAACCCTGTACCCATCATCTTTTGTTGTACCGCCATGATTTAAACGAAAATGACAGAACCTTTTGTTGAAACACTGCGTTACTTCAGCAGCTAAATTTCAGATGACAAGTTAGCAGTTTTCCCCCAAAAAAATAATTTGCCAGCTTTGTCTGTCAAATGTGCTACTTTCATTGGGATGTAAAGGGATTTTTAAAATGTTGTACCCATGACAACTACCTCTGCCCTGTCACTGCCTTCACATGAAGCAGAAGTGTGATACAACACTGCCCTCTGTTGTCTCGCCTCGGTAACAAATGGATGGCGAGTGAAGCAGTCTGCAGGACTGTTGTTGCATAATACTGTAAGGTTCCAGAGTAACGTTGGTCTTACTGATAGGAGCCTGGCGCTTTATTTTCTCGCGAGCTGCTTTTCGACTTGCTTTATGCTTCTCAACAGAAACGTAATGCGCACACACATATATACATACATACACTCACTCAGCCGCTCGTCTCCGCTGCCATGGCAATGTCCCCATCCTCCAGGGCAGTGCTTGGATCCTTCGCTAACCAGCTGTCACGCTTTCCCATTGTTCCTTTTCTTTATCTTTCTCCTCCAACTGTTTAGTGAAGACGAGATCCGCAACCACAGGAGTAGTACTGCGCTCTTCCTACTTTCAACCAGGGCTCATGTTAAATATACTCCTTTTGTCATGCGAAATACACCATTTTACTTACATGACTGGATACTGGAACTGTTATGGACTCCAAGTATCAGCATAGGTTATATAGGATGTATTCTCAAATGAATTCATAAAGATTGACTAATTTCTTCATAAATCTTTACGTCTGTGCTTCTTTGTCTTCTACCTCAACGCTTCACCAGGCACCTATATGCTCCCTTTGCTTGTCCATAGGTGATCTCTAACTTTATTTTAAAACCAACAGATTGTTTTGGCTGGCTTCCTCCTAACCTTGCTTTTTGTCACAAATCCTTAATTCTAATCATTTTTTTCTTCTTTTTTTCCATTTTCCATTTTGTTTTCTCTGTGATTGATGCACAGGTTGGTTACAACTACAGCCAATGAGCTGATAGTTGAACTGATGCACATTGGATGAACAGCGCTAATAATCCAACTATATCATGTCTCCATATGCCATACTTTTTATTAAAGCTTTGTATATCTGCGTTGTAATTTCCATCTCTGTTTTTGTTTTCAGTGTATGATCAGCAGGGCTTTCTGCTGCAGCTGGACACCAAACTGTAAGTTCAAGTTTATCTAGTAAACACTTTTAGCACTTCTCATCATCATGTTCAGCGTGTAATATGTCTGTTGTATTTGGAACAGCGGAATTCCAAGTTAGACTCTGACGCCATCCGTTTACATTTGTTTATTAGCGTGTTCAGATGAATACTCATTCATACAGGTTGCGATTGATCAATTGGGAAACATGAAAACATAAACCTTCCACCAATTAATCTCCCTTGATTTTTGTTAAATAAACGCATCTCCATCTCAATAGCGATCTAACCAGAACCTGGTGACCAATGTGTAGATAAAGTTGGTGGTCTGATGTGCTCGGTGGTTTCCCCTTCATCCCATAGCGGCTGGGCTTTGTCAGGGTGAGAACATGCTACATCGGGTCATTACGCAGCTCTCATTGTGTCAGCGTGTCTGTTGATATGTGTACAATTCCCTGAATTGGTTTGACACTCTTGCTCTAAACTGCCATGATAAGGCCACTTCTTTGGCCCTCCCATGATGCATCTCGCTCATGTGCTCCCATCACCAGCCCGGCCCTCACAGGGCACGTCTGTCCACACTCTGTACACAGTAAGCACTACGTCAGTACACACTTCAAGGAGGTTCTCACATGGGTTCAGTTTATATGACACGGCTCTTTAAATTATATATTTAGTGTCATTAGTTGCTCCGTTGGACCACATGTGATACAGTAGTGCAATTTAGCTGATGGAAAAGGTGAATAGCGTTCTACTATAGATATATATTTAAGTATATCAGTGCTGATGTACCAAACCAGCTCTGGTCTTGGGCCTCACGTGGACCTTAGAGTGGGGCCTTGCTCCCATCCATGTTTATTTGCACTAGATTCATGGTATTCATCAGGTTATTGATGGCCATGCTGGTAACCGCGAGGTTCTTGTTTTACCGCTGCCAGTGTGATTATTTGAACAAGGCCCCTCTGATTTGTCTCGTCACACACAGGTGATCTGCAGAGTTGTTGCTCAGCTCTCCAACTTCCTAAGCAACCCGTTTTTCTCTCAAGCAAATTGTTTGACGTACACAGTGTTTGAGGCTTAGAAATGTGTCTGTGATAATCAGTTATCACGATGTATCTGATTAATAGCTCCCTTTCTTTTTTTTTTTTCTTCTTTTTTTTTTAATCTACAGGCCCCCGGAGTTGGTGTACAAGTATGGCAACATCAGCGAAGGAGCGTGCAAGCCGGGATACGCAGCAGCCAAGATGACCGCCATCTATCCTAAGTGAGCAGGATTCTTCTTTCTTGGTTGAGATGTACATAACATCATGGAGACTCATTGGATTCGGGCAGAAATTTTCTTCACATGCACAATCATAAACCTCACAAACAAATCGCTTTATTGGCTGTCAGCAGGACAAAAGCTAAAACTGTCACCCAGGCATACCAAGACGCATGATGTCACCCCTCAAGCCAACTTGGCCTTGAGGGTTTCGAGTCCGAAACAGAGAAGCCGTACATTCCCCTTCAATCTTCCCTAGTTTCTATCATGTTTCTATAATCTTCTCCCCCATCACAGAACCCTCACTGTGTCCTTGTGATCCCCCTGTTTTCAACAAAAGAAGCATTGTCATAGAGTACAAGGTCTCCTATCGCATCACAAAGCCTTCAAGGCTTTTTTCTATGAACGACACCAACCAACTTCCTGTCCTGACTCATCATGAGCATCCTGGTACAGAGCCCACACACTCCTCATATCCTCCATGGCCCTCTGTGATGGTGTTGGCTCTTTTTAGAGTTTTCTCTATGCCAATCTCTGCTTGATCTATGGGGCACTGTCCCAGCAGCATTCCCTGTAATAGACGGGCAAATTACCGCATTGCTGAACAATAGTTGACACTTTACCGCAGTACTTGAGGGAGTTATGAGACAAATCAGCTTAACCCATTCTGAGGAAAAGGGTCGAACCTCATTAGTCAACTGTCTGAGGACGCAGTTAGAATCAAAGCTTTAGAAAATACACCAAACTAGTTTGACGCATATAACAAAAGATAAAATATCTTTTTTATAAACCTTAACTTTTCACTTTTTTTGTTCACTTTCTCTCTGCGCCTGTGATAAATCTTCCCGAACACTTTGCTTAAAATAAGATGCTCTCAAAGTGTTTAAGGGAGGCTACCCAAACCATATGGCGTAATGTGTACATGATGCATTGAATAAATTGACAAACTAACTCTAAGCAACAATCGGCCGCGCTATCAGCGGTAAATCACAGCGCTGCTTATCAAGACAAAGTAGTTCTGTGGAAGGGTCCTCCATCTATCTGAGGGACCGCGTGCTGCGACGTCCTCCCTCCTAATGACTTCCTCTAATCAGCCGCACGTGTCGGATCAAAGTTCTGTACACCACAAAGCCCCAGCGGGAGCCCAATGATTACTACCACCTTCAACGCAGGTCAAGGACCACAATTAATGCCGCACTTTGCGCGGGGTTTGTATACACGTGTGTTAGTGTATGGTTGAACCAACACAACCGAGCAGTTTGTGATTCATGACGTCCTGTCTGAAAAGGAGTTAACCAATTAACATCTTGTTTGTTAACTTGGTCTGCGTCATGTCTTCACCGGAAAAAGCGAACCAATTTAAAAGTGCTTGTTAGCGTTTTGTTTGAATAGGTGTGGCCTACGGTTCAGCCGTTAGAGAAAACCTACTTAACCTCTAGCCGTGAGGTCCTCTGGGGGCTCTCCTTCTAATCATCCCCTGCTTCCTCCATGTTTGTCTTCTCTGAAGCCTCTTGCCCTGCACAATCTGATTTATTTTCTGCCCCCCTCTCTTACCCAAAACGGTTTGCATTGAAGCCCTAAATCAAGTGTTGGCAGTGAACTTGAAGCGGCACGGTTATGAAAATATTGCCAGTGAGAGATGGATCCAGCAAAGGAAATGAGCACAATGCGTCCTTGCCCGTCGGCTGTTTTTGGAGCCCTCACTTTTTATTTAACAACAAGCAGCCCCCCGTCTCTCTGCTTTGTCAGGATGTCAGTGACGGACTGTCGGTCAGGGCTCAGTGACTTGCAATGGTCCCGTGTTATTTATAGCCCTCCCTGGCCCCAGGAGTCTTCGCTTTAATGAATCTCCATTTGCTTTGGCAGGAGAGAAGTCTGTGTGTCCGTGTGTGTCGGGAGAGGTGAAGAGGAGAGACCCTCTTCTCATGTCCTCTTGCTGCTGTAAACCTGGAGGATAATGAGGGATTCAAAGACCGATTAGGGTGCTCTGAAGAGGTTCGAGCTAACCGGAAAGCCTCCCAATAATGTCTGCCATGTTTGGTCATTGTGCTTCAGAGCACATATTTCTTGTGAACCCCAAGGCGGTGTTATGGGAAGACGCTATCCAAGATTCCTGCCGCGAAACAGGAGAGCGATGGCGTGTCCGTGTGTGTCCTCTCCTGATTCCAATTTGAAATGCCTTTGCTAGACACTGTTGGCTGTGCGAGCCATTATTTATGGTTGGTGAGATGTGTGTGTGTGTGTGTGTGTGTGTGCGCTACCCGCCCCTTGGCAAGATGGTCATGTTGCTGGTGGTCTGGTTTTTGCTAATCTCTGACTTCTTGCACAAACAAAATAATACACAACATCTCAAATACAGATCTCTCCAAGGCGCCTGTGTGTGTGTGTGTGTGTGTCCCTTGAGTGATTATTTTAGGTGTGACACGGAAACACACGGCGCTCCACAAATATTAACGTCAGAAAAAGAGACAAAAAGAGCGTCTCGCCACCCCGGTTTGACAGCAGGTCATACAAACACACATTCATCGCGGAGCCACACTTGGCGAAGTGGCACGTAGCCCGGCACTCGGGGTCGAGGAAATTGCTTCTTTTGATTCTAGAGCTGCAATTAATCAAAGCACTACACGCTCATACAGGCACACGTCGTCAGGAGGAGGCAATGCCGAGTTCATGGAGGATTAAAAACACTGGTCAGTTTCAATAAGAAACTCAACCTGTTTTCAATGTGAAAGAATGTCTTGCTTCAAATGCTCTTCAAAGGCGAGGCTTTTACGCACAAACTCCGTACACACTGATTCGGTCTGTGCGGAGGAGGTGCGTTGATGCGTTATGCACATTTGAACATTCGCTTTCTGTCTCGCTCCATGACTCTGTTTTATCACACGCTTAGTTCTTAGCTGCCTAGCGATGTTGTGAGCAGTCTTTGCTATGGCGCCTTTAGAAAAGGAGGAGGCGGAGATGCATTAATGTCAATAAGTGTTTGTGGGGAAAAAAAAAGTAGTGAGATTTCACGACGAAATAAATAATTTCTTTCTCTTCCGTTTCTTTCCGCGTCCTGTTGCAGGTTCATGAAACCAGCTCCCATGTTTCTTGATCGGAACTTTAAACGTCTAGCAAAACTCAGCAACTACTTACCTCCATTTGGATTCAAGACACAAGGTAAGAACAGTTGATTCGATCGGTTACCTTACACGAGTGACATCCAGTCTACTGTACATTTCTTGAACAATGTAGTCAAGGATAGTGTACATGAATACTAATCATATTTTCCATCTCATGTGCAGATATTCTTTTATTAAAGCCTACGTGTTCTTATGTATCTCCAGGCGTCAAATGTGAATAAGCTCCCATCGCATGTTACACTACTGTATTTTATCTCAGATTTGTGTGTTTTCTAATATTGCCTAGACGATTTACAGTCTTGGTCGAGGTTTATAATTGAGACTTGGGTTAAAAGTGGCTGATGAGAAGTTCCATTTTGGTTTCTGGTTGGCAAAATGATGGGTTTCAAAGTGTTTACTGGTCAATGTGGTGACTGAAATTGAACTCTTTGTGTGTCGTATTGTAGGTCAGCTATCTTACCTACAATGTAAGCGCAATGGGCTTGTGTGTGTTATAGCAATAACTTCATTAGTCAAGTTCATTTATTTTTGGGATTATTTCTATTTTGGGACCATGGAACGTTCATGTCTCCCAACACTCCAACTTTAATGTTTCCGCTCACAGTGCTTGTACTCGTTCCGTGACCTTAACACACTCTCGCACTTCAGATATCAAACTAGAACACAATGCCATGGGAAGTGAAGAGATAACATTAAGCTGCCTTCAGTTACATGCTCTGTCACATCTTTTCACATATTTGCCACATATTTATGTTTAAAAGCAGAAGGTACAGTGAATGTTACCTTTGTCCTCGTGCAGGTTCTCCGCTGTCATTCGAACACACACAGTTGCCATCAAAAGAGAACTCCCTGTGTGAGTGTTACACCTGGTTTCTGTTTTTGCAATGGACTGCAATGGCAGTCGGGTTTCCTTTTTAGGGGTACTCATGTGGAGAGATGATACGTGTGGATCTTGAATAGAACGCCACAAAGGATTCCAAATTGGGAACATGTAGTAGTGGTGGTGGATGTATCTTTGGCACACATCAACCACAGTAGAGAACAGTGAAGCTGTGTTCATTTGAGTCGGAAAGAAACAAACTAGTGATGTGTAAAAAGTAATTATTTTACCTGCATATGAAGAAAAGTATATCAACATTGTCAGTGATATAAAACATGAATAACCGCCTATTCTATGGTTGCCTTGGGAGATTTGGCTAACTAAAAGAGGCGGTCTTGCATTAAATCCTTTTGTGGGTTGCCTATGACAGATATTGGCATTTAATAAATGTTAATGCCTGAATATTGTTGCATCAACATATGCAGACCTACGAAGTTTACACAAGCAATGCTGCAGTCACATGATCACACTGTGGATGGTTCGCTGCTCGATCGTCTTTTGTAAGGCGAGACAAGAGTAGGTGCACATTATTATGATTAAATCGTTACTATATGTCAATCAGGAGTCTTCGCAAATCACAATAAAGTTACTGAAAATGTTGTGTTGAACGTCAGAAGATGGATCTTTTGGGACTAATCGCAAGTGAAGTTATGCGCACTGCTTTTTTTTGTAATGGTGGCTGTTAATGCTCTGTTGAAAACCGTGGTGACAGCCTGAATGCTGCTCTCATCATATGATTTCTATTATAGTTTAGACTACGTGTCTCCTAACAATGCATCTGTGTCTCTGTTACCCGACGCATCCCACTACTCACCAATCCTACCAGGAAAGATTTTTGTAATTTCCAGAGTTCCTTGTCGGACCAACGTCTGAACCTACATTTGTCTTCGGCTCCACCACGAGACATGCCTTGCTGAAATGTTTACGCCGAATACTTACGATAATTAGCTTCCACGTCGTCCTCTGGAAGGGAGTCCTGCCCATTGTGATTTTTCACTTCTCACCCGCTTGGATCCAGGTGTGGTCCTGGCCCTTGTGTTTATGCTGCCCGGGGTGATGCTTGACGCCAGACATCGACACCCCATCTAAACAATGGGCTGTTGCTGTGCTCGCCTCTTCTCAGCAGGTTAATCATTAGGCTCGTTGGCCACGCTGAATGGGGCTGTAATATGTCTTGCAAACTGATGTGAGGCCCCAGTCCAAACGCGCACTCCTGCTCTCCCTTTCAGTCTCACTTTTACTGTTTCTCTTGGACCCCTTTCTTAAGAGTATTTGCTCCGTGGCCATTATTTTAAGTGAAGTAGAGCGAACAATTAAAATGCCTTTTTTTTGTAACGGAGCAGAGACCTTTTTTAGGTGGAACGCCAACAAAGCAAAGCTGATTAACTGCCATCATTAAATCCATGTAGTTCTTCCAGAGTGAAACTGCTGTAATGGAAACTGCACATTTAGAAATATGAGAAGCCTAAAAATGGTCCGGGGAGGAGAGAAATATATGTAATATCTAATGCAGGGAGCATGACTCTATCAGAATGCCCCTCGGAACATGGCAGGAATGTGTGCTATGGCTAAACATCCCCGTTTCTCACCCTGCAATCAGAGGGGTGCCGACCACGCAGGGAGACGAGCTCCACATCGCTCACTTAACCAGGAGAATGTGCTTGTTTGAAAACAGCATTCCTTTCTAAGTGCTTTTATGGGAGACTTTCTCCATACACACGCATACCATCCTGAACCCTCTGCGTCCGTTTCTCCCAGATTCACTCCTCGAGAACACAACAGCTCTTTTCCCTCCACAATCCCATCAGGGCCGTTCCTGAGTGCTGATTGGTCGCTTCTTATCTGTGACTGGGTAAACGGAGAGAGGTGTTCCCTTCTCCCAACTGTCTTTAGACCACCTAGTTTGCTTTTTTCTCTAGTGATATGTCCAGTGGCTGCTATGTTTGTTATTCTTTTAAAAGGAGCTATTCCTAAGTTTCAGATTTTCAAATATTTAATTGTTATTAGCTGCCATCCAGTGACGGACCCTGAAGATTGTTTTCTGATTGAGAATTGATACCAATTGTTATCGTCCAGTCTCTTTGCCAAGAAAGCGTGCGTGTGTGTGCGTGTGCGTGTGCGTGTGCGAGTGTGCGTGTGTGTGTGTGTGTGTGTGTGTGTAAAAAAAAAAATGCTCTGGGCAATAAAATAACCTGCACAACTATTTACAATCAGACATGCAGTCTACGTGACGACATGATGCAATCTTAATTGTCCCCTGATGCGTTTTTTCTTTCTGTGGTTTGTCCCTGCAGAGAGAGTCATAGACAGCATTTTGAGTGCAACAAAAAAGTACGGACTAGGAGAGGCGCTCGACAGGTAATTGTTGCTACTCACCCAAATCAAAGGGTGTTCCTTTTTTTTATTTGTCTATCACTCTCTGATGTCACTAACTGACCGTCCCACCGTGCAGTCTCAGCTGTAAAAGATGCATCATTGTGGGCAACGGGGGAATCCTGTTCAACAAGTCTCTGGGCTCCCGAATAGATGACTACGATGTCATAGTGAGGTGAGACGAGTGTCTATAAAGTACATTAAACCATATCAAGAGAAGGAATCGATACTGTTGGTGGTGTTTAATAGATCCATTTTAAAGAACGACTGATTTAAGTTCATCAACATTGGATGGTGAATCTATAAAAACTTCACACGTTCAACACACTTTTCTTAAAACATAACTTTACTAATTCTTTTTGTGCTGGCAGGTTGAATGAAGCTCCAGTAAAAGGGTACGGCAAAGACGTGGGTACCAAAACCACCATTAGGATCACCTATCCAGAGGGAGCTATCCAGAAGACCGACAACTATGAAAAAGATTCACTATTTGTCTTTTCGGCCTTCAAACCACTGGATTTGAAGTGGCTCAGACAGATGGTCTTCAAGGAGAAACTGGTAAGAATACTTTCTATGTCATTAAGGAATGAAAGTGAAAGTCATGAACATCTAAAAACACCCACCCAACCCGTGAAGATCTGGGAATGGCTCCTCACAGGCCGTTCGTGTGGGTTTCACCCGGCTCTCTTTCCAATGTAGGATCCTTCATATTACCCCTCTGTGCGCTGGACCTTCACGTCTTTCTGAATGTCTGAGTTATCTGTTTTGTTGTAGCAGATCACATTCTGTACATTCCTTCCTGTGGAAATGGAAAACATCTTTTTGAAAAGATTAGGAGACCAACGTGAATATTTTCCATGGTGGATACAGAAACCGCAACGTTTCACTCCGGATGCATTACGTAACCACGCACTATTGATCCGCTCGCCGCGGACGCCTTCCACCACAGATGCTTTTGCGCATTTGTTTTTCATTGATTTGTGTGTGTGTGTGTGTGTGTGTGCGCCAGCCTCGGGGAGGCAGCTGCAAAGCAGATGGGTTACTGTCTAATGGGATAAATCGAGGAAGTAAAGAAGATAAGATAACGATAGAGTTCTACTTTGTATTTATTTTCATATTTTCCCCTGTGTTTAAGCTAATTATTTTAACAGAACTTGTTTAGGAATTATTCTGGTCAAGCGTTTAGACCATTATGGGGTTGATCACTTTAAGCGTTGTCCACTATGCTTCGTTTACCTCCCAGCAAGTCTTTTGTGAGCCTGTACGATTGTTCGCAGTGAATATGAATTGACCTCTCAATCGCAAGTGCGTGAATGACGGCGCTGGCTTTCCCTTATCTTTCCAAGTACAGAAGCAGGCAGTATTTAATGACTCTGTCCTTTATCCATCAACACTAAAAAGCTCTCATGAGCACTTTTCATTTCGTTCTCTCTGAACAGTCTTTGAGATTATTCCATTCAACTCCAGGACAGTGGAAGTACTTAGTAAAAGCTCTGGTTATATTTTATCAAAGATCTGCACAAAATGTGCACATTTTGTGCAGATAGAGTACAAATCCTTATCTTTTAAAGCACTGAGCACGGCTACTCAGGAGCCGCCGTCCCAGCCATCGCCATGTTGAGAGCTGTGATTCAATTCCCTAATTATACATTTCGAATCTAACAACCTTTTTTTAAAGGCGTGTCACTACTAGGGCATTCCTTTTTCCAAAGTATGTATGTGTTTCTCAGGCGCTTTTAAATGTCACGGCAATATAATGTAAAACATAATAAACTGTATTTTTAAGACTGTGTCGGAGCCAGTGGCTTAACCGGGGGATTCTAAACCGTTAACTCATGAAAAATTGTGCAGAGGCAGAAATTTTAAGTTCTGCTCCTTTCTTTGGGAGGAAGGCTTCTGTCTAAAAGGCGACCAAGAATTGGGGAAACCTGCTTCATTATCCAGCACAGCTGTGGGACTTTGAGGGAGCCTCTACCAGCCGTTTCATTTTTTTTTTTCTTTTTTTTTTTTACAAGGTGACATTTGTCAAAATCATGTGAATACGGTGGAGAAAACACAAAGCGAAAAGAACAAAACCATTATAATAGGGGATGGAAAGGGCACACAATGTCAAGCTGAAACTAAGCGACGGTGTGAAGTTGGATTAGAGGTTGAGAGAATAGAGGAAAGCTAGATGGAAAAGAAAGTAAAATAGGGTAAAGAGAATGAGCAGGGAATGGTGAAGTAAAAGGAGGAAAATAACTTTCTTGGCTGGGTTATGGCCCCTTCAGCCTTTTGATTAGGGCCCGGACACTGGAAATGGGTGCTCGGGATAATTGATCCGGCCCCTGGCGTCCAACTCGGCCCTCTTTTGATCTGCTGAGGAGGGAAGAACGTTCCAAAAAAAAATCTGCATTCGTCCAGCTGATGCGACAGCAGAGGACTGGCAGACGTGTGCACGAGTCCACCCATGACCGATGCCTCCTATATACATCTGCAATAGTAAAATATATGTCTTTGTTAATGGGGTCAGTGTCAGAAAATCGTACACCACAAATGGTGTATAAAAACAGCACAAATAATTCACACAAGATCTTCAGCCTTGCTAGTAAGATTCCAAGCTCAAAGACTGGCTGTGTCGGTGTGTTCGGTTAATAAAAAAATATTACTACAGCACTTATGTGCTGATTTAAAAGCTATTTTATATTCTAAACCGCATGCCCATTACTCACTCAAAAGGACTGCCATGTACATTTTAGCACACAATTAGCATACAAGCAGAGAAATATGCTGAAAAGAGGACAGTTCTTTAAAAAGTGTTTGCGCGGCAACATCATCTGTACAATGGAGAGTGGTTTTCTGTCTTAGCAACAAAATGAAAGGAACTGAAGACCCGTTAAAAGACTTCATTGTATTCGACTCACACATAAGAGTGTAAACATAAACATTTCGACACACAAAAAACAAAACTACTACCAGACAACAGGTATCCTAATCAATACTAGTCCGCATCGCTTGTGAGAGTAGTACCACACACGTTTAGATATGCAGCAGCAAAATCCCCACAACCCCTTTGCTTCACATCCATTTTTAGTCCTTCCCAGAGGGACGTACTGTAACTCAGGTTTGCGTTCCTTGGGGAGCTTTTTCTTGTCCCGGTCCAGCAGGGGATTTCTTTGTGTCAACACGCACACTCACAGCTCTGAGGGACGCAAAACCTTTTCACTCTCCTCCTCCTGAACGAAAGTGTACTTCCTTCAGCTCCTCTTTTAAAAGGTTAGTGGGCGGTGCGCGGTTGTTGTGCAGCCGCAAGTGACTCATCCAGCAAGTTGTGAGAGTGCTCGACTATCCTGCGCTATTGTGCAGGTTTGTTTTTCCCCGAATGCCTGCAGCGCAGTCTGATGGTCAAACACAAATCAGAGAGGCAATTTCACAATCTGTTATTTAGAGTTTTGTACACACGCACAAAGTGCAGATTTGAAAACTTGACCTCGTCCCCATCAGCTCTCTCTCCGATCAGTGAAGCCCTCTATTGCATACGCAATTATTCTAGTGCAGCATCAAAGGGCTTCCAGCTCCCATGATCCCTCATTACGGCGGGTATATACGGGATTACAACCCGGCTTTGTCACTGCGCCGTAAAGTCCGACCCCACGCACGCACGCAGCCGCCCGCCTGATTGCCCCGTTACAGGCTGTTTACCAAGGTGCTCAAACACCATTTTCACGATTGTCGATATTCCTGTTTTTACCGTTTTGTACGTAGTTCTCTCTTTTTGCACGCTCACGGTTCGTGCTCACACAGCCGCAGTTGTTTGTATATGCGGGGATATTTTCAAACAGCCGGCTAAGGATATACAGCCGGTGGTAAACACGGGTTCCAAGGTGGAGTGCCGGTGTTCTATCTTCGCTGTTTGTTTACAGGAGCTCTCCCTGCGCTCCTCAGGCCAGAGAGGTCAGTGATGGATGGAGACAGTTTGAGGAAGCGATCGCTTCTCCTTTTTAATAGAAATGCAGCCAGGGGTTCAGACATATCAAATAATTGCACCGAAGCCAATATTTTCTAAACATTTCACATCTCTTGGGCAATGGCAGAAATTCGGGCAAAAGAAATGTTCATGCCGTTACTCAACATCACTAAAAAATTCCCAAATCTTGTGTATATTGTTTTGAAGCGTTTCCTACTTTGAATCTCTGTGTAACAACGAAGTTCTTCATGTTTTATAGACCATATAAAGTTAGTTTTAACTCTTCATTGATGAGACCCTAGAATAGAAATAACAGCTATACGTCTCGATTTTTAAACCCAAACATCTGCGCAGAAGCCCAAAGTAGCACACATACATGCGCTCATAAACATTTACATACTTGTAAACATGGGTTTTGAACATGATCCAAGTGACTAATATGGGCTCCGGAAGTGACTGATTACCACGAGTGTTGCGTTTCCCAAATGAGTCATCTACCTACCACGTAATGGCCAACGCTGCGACCTGCACCCCACCTTCCTGTTAGTTGGGTGTAGTTGGGTGTTCTGATGCAATGGATGTCGGCAATTAAGTTAAAGGAACTTTGACATGTCGGAAATGTGTCACCAGTGGGATTAATTGGTTTTGGAGTCCGATGCCAGTGAGACCTGGTTGGACATACGAGTCTTCAGGGTCACAACGTGACACAAAGTGTCGGCACTGTTTTTAAGTTGGCCGTCGTGTCGGCACGCGGGTTTCACACACTCTGGATAAACTTAAGAAGGAAAAGGGAAACCAGCCCGACCTCAATGAGGGCAGAGGTCTTGGGGTGTGTGTCGGGAAAAGCGACGCCGATAACATGACCAAAGCTGTAAAGAAGTTTACCTCGAGTGTTTTTTAGAACCTTCAATCCCCCGCTGCACAGCTCGGCATTTTCCACATTCTCCCTGAAATGTTTCCTCTTCAATGGAGCACTTATGTGGTGAGACACAGCCACTTGTAAACTCAAAGGTCGAAGATGTACACAGTGCTAATGACCTCCAGAACAACCTTAATTGTGATCGTTAGCCGGTTTGGGCTGGCATTTGTTTTTTAAACTGCGCTAAAGCCTTCTGTCCTCCTCTCCCCGAACATCCAACATGAGCGAAGCCTCACGCAGCCAGACAGACTTCGTATGATAGCTGCCTGTCAACGAAGGAAGGAAGAACGGCCATCTGTATTATTCCAGCCGTATTAGGATATTATTCTGGAGAGAATGAGAATAGGTCTTAACTTTGAAATCGGCCGTTTACTATATCTGGGGACAAGACTGTCTGGCTTCTTTACGTGTGGCCGTCTTTGTTTTTACACTGAGAGTTTAAAGCCACCTGTAGTGATCCGCTGATGTGAGACTTTCCTTTTATCAAAGTTCTGTGTAGCGCTCCACTTTTCCACACTTTTCACTCCGTCCCTCGGGAACCTTTTTAGACTTCACTCAGGGCAGAGAAACATTTCAGTTTGAAGGTGAGTTAAGTTTCATTCACAGCACTGAAGAACATAAACGCGAGGCTGGATGATAAAATCCCGGCTCTATACCGAGCCGTTTCTTATTTAGGAAGTCAATAGAATCTTAAGTAGTTTTGTACATCACGTTGTTAGCGAGGTTTAAAAGGTATCGTTCTTCTATGCCTTTTTCCATCCTCGCATTCATGTCATTATTGTTAAAAGGCCATTCTTGTTCTTTACTATATCTCCCACTCCACATCACTTTTTCCATCGGTCTGATCCCTCACTTACGGCCTTGTCCTCGCCCTGGGACATTGTCTCGCTCTGATCCTATGCTTTCAGCTCTCTAGGTGCTGGTTTGTGTTGCGGGTATTTTCCTGCAGCTGTGAAATCACAAGACAAATATACTTCGTCCCTCGCAAAGCTTCTGTTGTAGCTGACGACACTGACGGAGAAACCGAGTGCTTTCATGGTATTAGTGTCCTTTCACTGGTGCATTAACTTAACGGTGCATCAACCGTACGTTGTGAGCAAAGCAGTGGATATTTTCTATGTTACTGACACCCGCTCCACATTTCATCAGCAGGTTTTCATCAGCTTGAGGTTTGAATGGTGCTGTATTGCACTGCATTGTCTTGTCCTCCTCTCTTCTTGGTCCCTTTGCAATGGTTTAATGGAAAGTGATCGGAGAATCAGCGCCGCCAACTGTTATTGATACACCCCTAAATCCTAATATTCACATTACAATCTCAGCTGGAAGTGAGCGTTATTTCACATTTTTCATGCGAGCTAAATTTGGATGGAAACTAATGTCAACACAAGTGGAATTACGCCTCAGCTAACTTTCCTCTAACTGGGTGATGTCGACCTCTCTGCGGTATATCTCCTTGCATTGCAAACAATTAACTCTCCCAGGTCACGGCTGTTTTAACAGGTGCTTTATTGGAGCACACGGCCTCGCTCACTCACTTAAATCTAATAATCCAGACCAATTTATCCATAAAGCTGTCGTAGGAGAAGGGAAACAGCCATTTCCTCTCTCCATAACCCACCGACAGCCCAAACACCAAAGTGTGTGTGTGTGTGTGTCAGGGCTTGGTGAGTACGTGGTGGAGCTCTGCAGCTTCCTGTTCTCTTATGGTCAAATGCCGCTGGATCAAAAGTGTTTTTCTTGACTCGATACACACGTAGTGTCTGCTACATCCTGCGCGGATGGAGGTTATTTGCTTTGACAAAAACAGTTGCTCACAATGTACCCGTTTCTACCACATTTATTCAACTAAAAGGCATCTTTCTAACGGTCACCTTGACACGGCTCCTCTGGAGTTGTTTGAGAGCTAAATGAGGATGGAGTGTTATCGTTAACTTTCCCTCCCCTGTCCAAACCCTAACGGGTGGAGGTTTGAGTTGGTGACCTTTTGAATGTAAGCAACTTCCCACATTCCTAAACTCATAACAGTACCCACAGCCCCCCTCCCCTCCCGACAGGCCTGAATCCTTACATACTAATCGCTCTCACGTTGCTCCAAACCACCTGTACTCTTCAAAGAGGTCCCCGCCCCGCGGCGCTGGTGTCTACCTACATGTTGGGTCGCTGCCGTGTAAAGTGAGGGGGGTGTGTGTCATTCGCTTCTCTCTTCCCTAGAATAAAGAAGAAGAAGAAGAAGAAAAAATGCATCACCCTCTTTTATTCGGCGTACACAGACGCGCACACATCCAAACAGCGCGGCTAAATAGATTCCTGGCAAACACAAGCTGTGTTGACAGGCGAGATGAGCCGCTGCTCCTGTCGCAGCTTGCCGGAGGCACAGAAAACGGGCCCGCGTTCAAAAAGAGCCGCCGCTGTTGAAGCCACAAAGCCGGCAGACTTGTTGCTACTGCCTCTGCCAACGCACACCAACGCACGCACGCACACCCGTGCGATAGCGGCATCAAAGGCGGCCGGACTGATCCTTTCATTATTTGAACAGGTGATTCCCATTTGCATCTGCTGAGTGTTTTGGCTTCTTGCCTCCTCCAAGGAAGTCGACCTGTCAGAGTCGCTCACACGCTGCTGGTGGGTCGCATGTTCATTTAGTCTTCCTTTGGCAGTAATGCTGCGATGGGGACACATGTGTTGGGAGGTTCATCAGGGACAATTGTAAGTCTTTGCATTGAGATGGTACACTTTTCAAGGGGTACCCGTTTTTTGTTTAGTTTGTTCCAAATATTTGCCGGTTGTTTTAGTAAGACTGCGCCGATTCAGTGCTTTCAGCAGAGATGCATAATAATATTGTAATGCCTCCGACGCCTCAATGATTGCTGTGTGAAATGAGACCGGAGGTGTGGCAGAACACCCTGCGGTCATGGTGTGATTTTAAACAATTTCCCTTTTAAATGCCATGTTAAACGCATGGATGTTGGATGGAGACAGCAGCAAATACTTAACGTGATGGGAGGCGCCACGCATTTGTTAGTAGGGCCGCGTCTCCCCCACTGCTGATGAAGAGCTGATATCCCCCCCCCGCCCCCCCCCTCCCCCTCCCCAAATATGCAGCATAACATGTGTCCGAAATTACCTTTCTCAAAGCCTGTCAACGGATTCACCTCTTGTTATATTGTATTCACTTTCACCGCAAGAGGGTCCTGGGTTCACACCCACCCAGCACCTTTCCTGTTGGAGACCACAGCCCAAAGACGTGCAGGATGGGTTAATGGGTGTCTAAAATTGCCCGTAGGTGTGTGCATGTGAGAGTGAATGGTTGTGTGTCTTCATGTCAGCCCTGTAATGACTGGTTAGCAATCCAGGGTGGACCAGCTGCAATTGACACTAATCCCCTGCCCCACCCCCCCAAGGATGAGTAGTATAGAAGGTGGCTGGATGGATGGAAACCGGTAATGTACACCCCGTGACTCACTCTCAACCAATCAGAATGCTGGATTTCATCAACCCATATAGTAATAATCAGTCCCCCACATTTCCACTACGACAAATGGAACCTCTAAAAGGGGGACTGTGAAGCACTCGGCACTCCGGGGCAACTTCACCCCCCATAATTACTGATGTCCTGCAACCCCCCCACCCTGACTTCATCCATTAAAGCCCCAAAGTCATTTCCTTAATCAATGCTGGTAGGGGTCTGGCTTCCGTGTTCTATGTCAGAAAAAGTGAGATAATCTCACTTTGATGTTTGGTTTGTAAATTGCAGTTCGCTGTCTCACGGTAAAAAACACTTCAGTGTATATTAGATATATTTTGACTACGACTAATTTGCATTTTCCTTTCCCGCCCTTATGTTGCTGTCCACGTCCTCGCCGACACGTCAGAGGGGTACGGAGGGGTTTTGGAAGTCGGTGGCTCGTTATGTTCCTCGGGAGCCGACTGAGATGAGAATCCTCAATCCCTACTTCATCCAGGAGGCCGCCTTCCAGTTCATAGGCCTGCCCTTCAACAATGGCCTCATGGGCAGAGGGGTAAGACGCACACAGGCATCAAAGTCATAAAAAAGAAACAGAATTTTGATTTTCTGGGATATGCTCCTTATTTGTATTTCTAAATAAAAGGGGAGAATGAAAGTAGGTTAAAATCAAATAGAAAACATTTCCTAAATTTTGCAAACTGGCCTCCGGACCTGCCTGAGTTCTGCAGAACTCTCGTTCAATTTTTTTTTTTTTTTTAAGTTCATTATTACAAGTCGATGCGTGTGCTTTGCACATGGAACATGCGTCGACCTTCGCCGGAGCACTCAGGGTGGACCAGAGACGCCTTTGGGTTAGAGAAATAAAGTGAGCACATTTCAGTTGAGAGAGAACCAGGCAGTCCAACACAAAGCGATGGTGTTTCTATTCATGTATTATTAAGTTGGTGTGTTTTTGGTAATTTAAAGAGCAATATAATTGTATCACCGTGGCGCTGCCCTCTGGGGCCAGCAGAACACCCCTGCATGAACTCCACGTTGTAACATGTGTTCAACATGTGGGCATCTGGCGTGTGTGTGTTGGCCATTTCTGCGTGTGCACATTTGTGTTTGGGTGTTTGGTAGTGCTGTCTCACACAACGCAGGCTGGGGGGGCGGGAGGGGGAAGGGGATGGTGTCTGATTTGGCACATTCTTTCCCCAGAACACTTTCCTGTCTCTCTCCTGACCATCATAGTTTATGTTTGTGGAAATTAATGAGGAGGCCTATTTGTTATACTAGTGTTCATGTTTAGTGTGTTTGTGAATGTGTATGTAAATGAATCCGTATTAGAACACGCAGCAGGGGGCTGGCCAGCTGCTGGCACAGTCCACCCACCCCAAGGGCTGCAAATCAGGGTAATGGTTTAAATGGGGCCTCCCTCGGCTCTTTCTTCTGCACCCACTTTTCTTTTTTTTTTCCAACATACACACTACCACCACCCTCCTTCCTCCAACATCCCCTTCACCCCCCCACACCCCCTCTCCCCAGATCTGTGGCTGCCCCTCGGCGGTTAGGAAGCACAGCTCAGCCCTGCAGATCACGGTGTTGTAGCAGGGGGCTGCAGGGGTCACGTTATAAGTAATCACCAAGTGCTCAAAACCAGTTAGCGGCGGTGGAGCAGAACGAAGACCGAGGCGGGAGGGAGGGAGGGAGGGAGGGAGATGCATGAGTGGGATCAGAACATGTGTCTCTGAACTTGTGTCAGAAATCAGAATTCAAAATTGTCTGAAAATGACACTGGACTTACTTTTGTCAACTTGAATACCTGCATTGGCATAAATCCTCCTTTTTGATTTGTCAGCGAATGTTCCTTGTAGTGCTTTTGCCTCTGATGTTCTAATCGCCTGCACCTCTGTTTTTGTTTTCCGAACTAAAGAACATTCCAACTTTAGGAACAGTTGCCATAACAATGGCGCTGCACAACTGTGACGAGGTGGCGGTGGCTGGTTTCGGCTACGACATGAACACGCCCCATGCTCCTCTACACTATTACGAGGCGGTCAAGATGTCTGCCATCAAAGATGTGAGTGTACGAACACTGTCTGCTGGGTTTTGGTGCAAGTTCAAAAGGGGGAAATTTGTTCTAAAATGTTGGCACATTTAAAAAAAAAAATATATATATATAATATATATATATATATATATATATATATATATATATATATATATATATATCAAGGCACTTGCACATAACCAGAATATGTTTTTGAATGATATCTCGTTTGACACACTCCATTCTAATGAGATCAATATTGTCTGGCTTCTCTCGTGCGACTGACTAATAAGTGAAGAAACCAATGACTGATCTTTGATGGGAAGGCACCACTGCTCGTGTGCAGGCGAGGGAGGGGACAGGTGAACTGGCCTACAGCCAAACTACATCCACTACAAAGCCTTCACTGTTTAGTGGCTCAATTCATGCACCACTTGAACACTACCTCAGCTTTTGTATTTACAATCGACGGCAATTGATGAGCAGTTGATGAACATCGTGGCAACACGTGTGGAGGTCCACTAATGCGTTTCTTCTCCTCCTCGGCTCCTTGATTTTTGTCAAAATAAGTACTTTAAATAGGAGTTAAATGGCAAGCTCGTTGGAGCTGTTAACACTGTGAAGCTGAGAGCAGAAATGTCTGCTTATTGTTGGATTATTTTAGTGTATTTCATATTCCTGTTTCACTGTCAGTTAAGGCGGGCTCCTTTTGCTCAGACGCCAGGTTAAAAATCGCTATATTGATCGATCAATACAGCTAATTCTGGACTTCATGAATTAAATGAAAACTACAATGGAGGAATAAAATCCGGTTAGATCTACTTTCCCCCGGACTGAAGTGGCACTGGTCTTTCATCATTCACTGTGTCCACATGCGTCCGTGCATGACGGATCTCCCTCCTCTCCATCACTCAAGTCTTCCTCTCGGTGTTTACACCGAAACTCAGCGGAATCAAAGATGTCGGCCGCGTGCTGACGCATGTAAACCATGAGCTCAGTATGGCGATGACCTTTTTCTAAACTCCCGCTCAACCTTTGCCATTCATTATTATCCTCATCAACATTGTCATCAGCCACACATGGCTAATAATGGGAACACTTTTTTGTTTGGACCACTTTGAACCGCCTCCACTCTCTGGGGTCATTGTATTATATGGAACCGTATTATTTTATCTTTGTATTGTTTTACTGCGTCAGAAAAGGAACCAGTTTCCGATGTGGACGGATGCTTTGAAGCTCCACGGACGCTCTGTAATTAAAAGAGAAACACAAAAATCTATGATAAAATGTCACATCCGCCCCTGTTAAAGAGTGCGGTGCTACTGAGGTGGATGTTGTGTTCCATTTTCCTAGATTCTGTTATCTTGTAGGTGATCAAACGTAGTGTCACATTTATTAGGTTAAAACTGCCACGATCAATACTTTTTTTATTTTTTTATATCAACAATGGATCAGAATGTTACTTGTACGTGACGGAGGTCACTGCTCCGCTCCAATAAGCAGAAAGAAGGGAACATTGAACGGCCAGCTGGTGAACATAGTGGAGCATTTACCAGCTAAAGAGACAAATATTTCCCTCAGATGTCAGAAAAACTAAGAGGCCAGAGACACGACTCCACTAACTGAAGTGGAGAGAATATGTCAATGTGGTCGGTGACGGTAACGAACGGGCATTAAGACTAAACAAACTAAGACCCAATAAGCGCTCCATCTGAAGTCTCCTTCTCCTCCTACAACAAAGGAGACGTGTTGGTTGTGGAGGTGTTGCCTCAACTTGCTAACAACCAAACGTCATTTCTGATGTCCGTTTGCAGGCCAGTGAGCTCATTAGCGAGCCGGATGTAACGTCTTATCATCTTTACCTGCGAATGTCTGTAACGCACGGTTAGGATGCTGAATGGGACTTGTCCTTTTTCCTAAACACATTTGTCCTTTGCCTTGTAAGCCATAAGGCAGCGCTCACTTTTAAGATTTGTCTCTGAGCCCGAGCCGGCTCAGCTGTCCATCAAACACAAGGATTTTCAATAATAAAGAAGACAGAAAGAATAATATAACTTAACGTGTTTTGACTGCAAAAATGCGTGTCAGTTGCACTAAGAATATTACAGCCCTGTTTCTTACATTTACTTCCATTGTAGCCTGTTGTTTGATCCTTCTGGTCCAACTGGGAATTGTCACACATTATGGTGGGAGGTCCTGGAGTTTTGGCTCTTGATAAAGCCGGACCATTCCAGCTGCACGGACAACCTTCTCCATATATCCACCTTTTTTTTTTCTTCTCCATATTCCCATCTGTATGTTTCTTCATCCACCCTTTGCCTCCTTCATTTGCTCTCTGGCTGTTCCTCTGTCTCTGCATCCCAAAGCACAGCACAGGAACCACCGGCTCTTGTTACATTTCGCCTCACAGGTCCGACCCCTCATAGCACAGCAGGGCGGAAAGCTGATCCACAGTGAATTTACTCATATATGTGCACTCATGAACACCCACACGCACAGACACTAGGAGCCCTAAACCTGCCTTTTGCCTTTGGAACAAGTTCTCCTGAATGCAATAATCACTGTTCTTATATATTTTCTCCCACAGTCATGGACACACAACATTTCCAAGGAGAAGGAGTTCCTCCGCAAGCTGGTGAAGGCCAACATCATCACGGACCTGACCAACGGCATCTGAGTTTACAGCCACGCACGCAGTCTCCCTCTTTCCCAAAGGACCACTGAACAGGAAACTGTGGAAACGGGTCGACTCCGGGTGGCCTGCACGCTGTCTGGGTTTTTCATATCAAAGGAGATTATTTAAAAAAAATAAATAAAAGTTAAATACAGTCATAGGAGGGTTTCTGTGGAGTGATGCACACTTGTGCCTTCTGACCCGAACACTCCTGCCGATGTTGAAGCAGGGAGCAGAGAGGGTGGACTGGATCTGCCCGGGTTCCCGTCATATCGAGGGGCAGCCACACGTACCTTCTTCCCGCCCCCCTCTTCAACGTTTACCACGTCAACCCCGGGAGTATCTCGCCACGGCGTAGCGGAGAGAAGTGATTCGTTGACTCAACGACTCACCGGCTAACAGAGAGAAAAGGGTATCCATATTAGCCGTGCCAAACGTACCTCGTACACGGGAGAGGCTGTCCTCCTCCTTTTGCTGCCTGAATGTATTCACTTTCGTCAGTGTAAATATCCAATGTTTTTACTGTGCTTTTTACAGCAGCCAGCAGTGTGTCACCAGCCGCTGCAGCTGGTGACACACTGGTAAAAAGTTTGTGATATATAGATTTTTTTTTTTTTCTTTTCTTTTTTTCAGTTTTCTCTGTGACGCCTTTGTCTGTCAGGAAGTTGTAATTATAGAGGCGTAAAGCAGGTTCTTTTGGCTTCGCACAGACCGGAAGTGTCCCCAACAGCTCGATGAAAACATGAAGCTTTCCAAGAGGCTCGATGCAGAAAAAACGCTTGAGGAGAACGTATATTTATTATTTTGGTCATTTTAGGTGGACTATTTATTTCTTTTAGTCATAAGTTGGAGTTTGAAAACTCAATTTCTTTCTCCCTCCTCTCTGCGCATCCATTTCACGGCCTTCATCGCTTCATCGGACAAACGGTCACGTGTCCAGATCCTGAGTCCCAACGTTTCCGATCACAATCAATCTTTTTGTTGCAAAAGTGTTTTCTTTCTCTTGGTTTCACAGCTGTGTGTGTGTGTGTGTGTGTCCTTTATGTTTGGCATCATCTTCAAAGTTACTGCCGGATGAAGTGTTCCCAAAACCAAATGACACAGATGAATTCAGTATTAAACCTCATTAGACTGCAGCACTACACGTGTGTGCTGTATGCATTTCTTTACATTGAGAGAACCTACGAGGTGTTCTCACCGGGCCTTTGCACTTTGCAGAGGAAGATTCTGCCACACTCGCAGAAAGCGCAACGTAGAAAACTTCAGTATTATTCAACGCCCCCAAAGAAAAATGTATGTAAACGAATGAATGCGATGATCATCTTTATGAAGTGACAGTGCATTTTGATACAGCTTTACCATCGCAGTTTTTGTTTTGCAGTTTTTGTCCTAGTTCTGAAATGCATATTTACTGTAGATTGTCCACACAAGTTCACTTCCAATACTCCCAATCAGCTGGCTGCTGCTGTCGCATCAGTTTCATTGGGCCACATGTTCCTGATCTAGATTACTTTCCTCCAACACGATTGTGCAGAGCTGCGTCCCATTCGGCCTCTTAGGAACGGCTTCATGGAGTCTCAAGGGACCCATCGTTTTTGTTTTGTATTTTTCTTTATAAACCAGGCCCCATTTGGTACTTCTGTTGACAACAAAGGGCCAAGGGACAGCAGACCATTGCACCGCCGTGAGGCGCTCGCAGTGCCTTACATCACCGGAAAACCGTAGCGAGGAGTTTAACGTGAGGAAATAACGGCAGCTGATGACGAATGTAGGCTCTGCTCCGGGTCAGAACAGCTCACATCTCATTTCTCTCATGTGGGACCAGCGCATTTCATATCTGAGCTCTATATATATTATATACAGCTTAAGAAGACTCATGATGGTGGTTGTGTGTTTTAGCCCATAAACTACATAATCAAGCAAGTTTCCTTTTATTCCATGTTTTTCTTTGGCCATGGTTGCCTCATTTTTCTTGTGTTTTTCACCTTCTGCCTCATCAAATGAAAGTTCACTTTACTCGTCATGAATGGGACAATGAAAACCGTTGTTTATTGTTTTTATTGTGTTTCTGCCGCTTCAGTCACTCGAGGGACAATAAGTTAGGCTCCCTTCCTCTACAGCTACAATTTTGATTTATTTTTTTTAATCAGACTCTGGTGAGCCCCCGTTGCCTTTATGGAAGTGAAATGCCAAATCACTGGATCCCCTCTTTAATCCTGGAACCTTGGTGCATCCTTGATTGCAAGGAGACTTCAAAACTGGTCCCTGCTGACTGCTGCGGGGCCACATCTCTATAATACATCATTATCTATTGGATAAAGGGTTGATTTATAGCGTTGCAAAATCATTTTCAAGCATTGACTGCCTGGAAATCAATCAAAAGCCCCCTGGTAGGTTGTAGAAAATGGTCCTTCATTTGGCACAAAATGTGTAGTGGGTGAGATAAAACATGCCAAACCACCAGTGTAGTCTTTAACGCTAAGCACACGCTCAGTTGGAGTTGATTTTTCTGTTTATTTTCGTTTTCTAGGTTATGAATATGTAAGCATGCTGGAGGAGTTCAAAGGGATTGGACCCAAATCGCTTGATCTTCATAACCTCTTTATGTTTAAGCAGAATGTATTTGCTTTTGTCGTTCATATTTATCTGCTTTTTTTTTTTTTTTTACTTTACATTCCATCATCAAAGAAAGTTATTGTGACCAAAAGTGTTACTGTTTTCTATACAGTTATGAATGGCTTTCTGTAACTCAATAAATAAGTTTGTAATGGATATTTCCCCGTGCATGTTGTTTCCATCTTTTGACACTTTTTTTGTATTTGTCCTTTTTTGTATGAACATATTTCTGTACACTGTGAATTTTCAGTATCTATAGTAAATATTTTTGCTGTATCAACCGACTCAATCATTCGCTTGTCAAAATGCGATCGCGGGTGACCTGAATAGCTTTTCGGAGCCCAGTGTGGCCTTCAATGTCCCGTTTAGTTGAGGAGGGCCTTAAGCCGCACGCGAAGACACTGTCACTTGAAGTCGTTACAAACTGCTGCAAGCTCACAACAGAGATGAATTAGGGATGAAATGGAGGAAGGTGAAGAAGAGGATTTCCTCTCTGAACACTATCTCCTACCTGCAGAGCCAAAGGAAATCATTTTTCAATCCTCCATCCACCGAACTTCCTCCCAAATGTCCCTTTTTTTTTCTCCTGTGTGTTTATAATTGTCCCACACTGTCCTCCGACTTCCAAGCTCACCTCATCCACTCCAGCCCTCATTTTCTTTCGACATTTCTTTCTCTTCACCTGTTTAACCGAGGCTGATCTTGTTTCATTGCTGTAGACACGAGGGACCCATTTATGACCTGTTTTGAGGACTGACACACACACACACACACACACACACACACACACACACACACACACACACACACACACTAGCCAGCTGCAACCGTGAATCTTTCTCTCACTCTCACACACCACAAAATCACAAACCTGAGGCGGACAATGAGCCGGCCGTCCAGCTGTGGCTGCTGTAAGTCCGTGTTGCCGAGGGGGGAAAAGATCAGGAGACTCTGTAGGCCCTTAAAGCACCACTGGACTGTCCCATCGTGCTGTTAACGGGGTTCCAGAAATGTTTGGCCCCTCCCTTAAGTCACGCCTCGCGGATCACCCAAACTCGCTCGCCCGGGCTACTTTGACGCCGCAGGTTTCCTGACGACCTCAGGGTGGGATCGAAGGCTCGCTCCCTCGCAGCAGGAGGATATTTGCCACCTGGGATGTCCCGGCGCAGCTGGAGCGGCCGGCCGGTCGGAGGCGGTCATTCCTGTTCACCCGGCAGACAGCAGAATGTGCACGCCTGCACCTCTTCAGCTCACGGGCCTTTTATTCCCTGCGACAGGTTCCCCGCCCCGCTTCCTCTCGGTAGGATTGGAACGGAGGGGCCACGACCTCCGAGGCCTGAAATTTAAACTCCTCGTTAAAAAAAAAAAAAAAAAAAAGAAGTTGGACCAGGGAGGGAAAACACCCATTGAGGCACCTATTTGTTTTCCCTGTTTACTTAATGTGGGGTCAGCTGAGATGAGGGAAAACACGATCCCTTCTTTACACTGCGTCCCCCATTCTGTCCGTGTGCCTTTTGTCTGCTTGTGACACACCTACTGGGTTGTCATGCACCTGTAGCACTAAAGGGTTTTGATCTTGTCCCGTCAGTCTCTGAGGTCCTTCGACGATGATCCTTGCTGATGAATATCGGCTGATGTAGTTTCATAATGACTCCTAGCATTTGGCAGATCACAGTAAATCGTTTAAAGATATGGATACGTTGTTTTCGGTGTTTTTCCGATGCTCCTTCCTGCCTGAGATGGAAACTCACTCACACGGCTCAGAGGCAAGAAGCAGGTGCAAAACATCTGTATGCTGCAGAACACGTCTGAGTCAGCTATGTGGCCTTTAGGATCAAGTACGAGTAGGAGGACATACAAAGACATTTAATTTACAGCTTTGGCAGAATGCCTTTAAAAACACCGGCAATAACATTTAGCCCGTTGACAATTTTAAAGTCGGGAACGATTATATTAGTGTGTCCAAAATATTTTACATTCCTTATAGATTGATCTGTCTAATATTTTATTTGACTGTAAGAAATTATCTATAGTCCTGAAATGTCCCAAAATAACATCTTTAAACTGATCTAAAACAGATGAAAATACACTCCTTGGCCATCTTGGCCCTTTAATGGCTGTAAATGTGCTTAAGTCACATGATCTTAATAAGTAACGGAGTTATAGATTAAGGACTTCAACAGCTCCTATAATAACCTTTTTCAGGAGATTATTGTTATTGTCAAAAGTGTAAAGTAACATACTTGTATAAGTAATACAAGTATTGATTTATATTCGATTAGGCAGAAAATTGTCCCATTTGAAAAGCTGCATCTAGTGATTCTGACTTTTACTGAGGTGTCATGAGTCAACACGTTTGATTAAGGCTCGTACTGTATGTCGAGTCTCAATGAATGAATGATTCACGGTTTATCAACTACCATCATCAGGCCAAATTTTAAATTAGTTCAATTCTGTTTATGACCCCGAATGTCATCCTCATCTCCCTTATCTGTACTTTGAGTTTAGTATTATAAATTTAGCTCAGCTTTCCTCAGTTTAGCCTCACAGGGACTCTTAGTCTTGTTGCTTAGTACCAAACTCATCCCTTAAGCTGTACTATATGAGATAAGATAAGGTTGAAGACCGAGAGATACAAAGTTGTAGCTCCCTGTTGTGTTCTCTGCTCAGCCTCCCACATAATAACGCCTTTAATCAAGCTGTGTGCCGACGCTTCGCTTTATGATTTGTTTGTATGAACGCCTGCTGGAACGCAGCTCTGAAATGCTCTGATGAAATGTAAATTACAGAAGATTTATATGCGGTTCATTCACTTGTTTGAGCTAATATGGAAACGCGTTGTTATGGAGGTCACTGTTTTGCAGCTAAAGTATGACTGTGTCCCACAAATTTGCCTTTGTTTTACAGATTCAGCCTGAGGGTTTTGGACAGTGTGCTGGATGAGGGGAGTTCCCGCTAGAAAAGTGAAAACAAACTTTAATAACTGGAACAGGCCCAAGAAAGGAAAAGCACCTTTGGATGGAGAAGAGATGCACTTTGACTCGTGCCTCCAGAAGAAACCAGAGAAACCTTGGAGGGATTTTAAAATACCTTTTTAACCGTCCATCACATCTGGAAAAGTCACTCCTTTCTGTCTCCCCCTTTCTTTCATTAGCATCACCACCAGAAATCAGAACCACCCTCCCGTTTCCTGGAAACAGATGTGTACAAGAGAGAGTGCTGGCCCCAACCACAAACAAACAAACTGTACAAATAGAAACATCTTTCATCTTGCTGTTGGAGAATTTCCTCATAAATGCACATGTGTATTCTAACAGGCAGATTGAATACACCACAACAGCCGCCATGTTAAGGGCAAATCTGCTTGTGTGTGTCTGTGTGTGTGCGTGCTGGAGAGGTACTGTATACGTGTGTTGTGCTTGCATGGGGTTTAACAGTGCTTGTACAGACCTTGTCATGCTGCAAATCCCTCTCACAATGCCAAACAAGTTCATCGCCATTGCTCACAAAGATGGATGATGTAGACACACTTGTTGAATTTGCGGCCCCGGTTGCAGTGAGGTGCCGAAGTCAGTTTTGGCAGCCAAGTCACTTCGATGTGTGTGATAATGTGTGTTTAAGGAGCGTGTATAAATCATAGTCCTGGGTAATAAGAAGGGAGACCAAGTTTCACAAATCTTTCTTTCACTCATTTCGGACCTCGACCAGTCACTAACATGACATTTTTCGTTCCTCGCGTTGTTATTGAGCTCCTCTTTATTATTTGACGCTACATTCCTGCATGTCATGCGCCTCAGCTGTGTGCATTGGGTGCCTTGTTGGTCTCTATTAATAGCGCCGAGACAGAGACCAGGGATCCTCCCTGCATTTGTCTCTGCCTCGCCGTGAAGAGTGGACCCAGAGAAGAACGCTAAGGAGCTGTTTACCCAGCTTTTGTGCTCGCCGGGCCTCAGTGTTTGCCCTGCAGGGAGTGCCTCAGCCGGAGGGCCTTTTCGTGCACCGGAGTGGTGGGTGGGAGGAACAAAACGAGACAAACCTGCAAAATGGAGGCCTGAGTAAAGTGGCCCGGGAGCTCGGAAAGGTGCCCGGTTGCCGGTGCCGGAGGTCTGTAGGCTTTGCAGAAGAGACCTTCGCTTACCTCTAAGTGCTCGCTTTGCCAATCCTTCACGGTCGACAGCAGGTGACACCTTCTGGTACAGAGGTCAGGCCCAGACGGACGGGGAAGACACATGAAGCAGGAGGGGGGCAAACCTGTGTGTGTGTGTGTGTGTGTGTGTGTGTGTGTGTGTGTGTGTGTGTGTGTGTCGGTGGCCATCTGGACCAGAGCCTCTGTTTGAAGTCAGGAATCGGGAACATTTACTGCCGAAGTATGTTAGACATACAAGGAATTTGACATGACGGGTGGTGCATAGCATTGGACAATAAGACAATGAGACGATGGACAGCAGGACAAATAACACTGTGACTGAACAAGTGAATGTTGAGACAAAGAGATAAATGCAACAAAAGATACAAATTGGCCACAATGACACACGGCTTCCTCTTTTGTTGTTTTGTGTCTCTTTCCGTCTGTACTCAGTTGGGGGACCCATTGTCCCATAATCCATGTGTGTCCACTCACCTGCACATATAGAGAAACCCTGGACATTTACGAGTCCGGGAATGTAAACACTGAAGGACAGACTTCACTGCCACTGGAACGCTTTTCCAGAAAAGATTCACGACCGTCCTGTAGGATAATCACTCCCCTCCCTCCCTCCCTCCCTCCCTCCCTCCCTCCCACCCCCCTTCTGCCCTCACTCCTCCCAGGGCAGGAACAAAAAGACATTTGAGCTATGTCGATGGGGAAGAAAAATCACAGCACTTTGCGCAGCGGCCGCCGCGCTCCGGTTTCACAAAGTGTCTGACAGGCGGAGCGGCGCGCCGTGTTTACGCACAGCCTCGCCGCCCTGCGAGCCACTGCGGACGGTTCGGTCGCGGTGTAGTGGACTCCCGAGAGGACAGCGGAGCGGCACACTGATAACCGGACACCTGAGACCAGTAAGAGAGTTTAGAGAAAAAGGGAAAATATAATGAGAAGTTTGTTTTGGAGACGCGGATTGTAGCCGCGTGACGCGCGTGGACTTGTATGTTTTTAGGAAACGTATCCTACCGACAGATGTTTCTCCCAGTTTGGACTTAACGTTCCAGCTTGCGCGTAAAAGCAGAAGGAAACGAGACTTTGGTCCTGAATCAGGACACCCGTGCAGTCTCTCCTCTGACGCGTGGTGACTGTATCGACCTTGTCTTCACTTTAATGTGACGCAGAACGCGCCGTGGTACATTTCCCGCGGTGTCATTTACTCATATACGAGCTGTTTGGGGGCAAGACCGAACAGGTTACTGTGGGGAGGAAGAGGGAAGTAATTCCTGAACAACTGGCTTCATTTCATTAAACGATGGTTAGACGTGAGTAAGACAGCACAGGTACATCGACGACACGTGTTGTAGAACGTATGACGTGTTTGAATGATCAAACATGATTTATGCGAGTGGATTGAGTCCGTGTGCCAGAGGTCCATCTTAACAGACAGATTTGGTCTCGTATTCTTTCTTGACTTTCACATATATTTTTTAAATATAAATATATTTTGAAATTAAAAACACGTTTGAGACAACTTAATTCATTTTCAGTAGAGTTGAAAATATTTTTGGATTTTCTCGAAAAACACAAGAAATGTGTAAATGAGCTGAGGTGAAACATTTGATTTATTCTAACACGTTTTGGGACATTTGGTATAAACGCCCCACTCGAGCTTTACAATCGAACTTCATGACCCGTTATAGATGCAGTTCTCTCTATTCACCACCTTCTGTATTTGTCCAGGCTGCTGAGACCCTCCACGGAACACTGACAGGAGACGGGCCATTTGGGGGGGGGGGGGGGGGACTTTTGGCCGCTTAAAAAAAAAACGAGGAGGAGGCGCCTCTTGCGCTGAAGCAGAACCGCTTTAGATGGATTCTTCATGTTTGCTTCAGCCTCAGTGGAGACAGCCTGCCCTGAACACTTGCGAGCCGTGACAATAGGGCGTGAAACATGGCACGTCGCGGCGTGTGGATAGCCAGAGACGCGCGCTGCGCCCAGCGTGGAAGGAGCGGCTCTCCTGTCCCGTCCGGCACGCACTTGGAGAGGATTGCGCACGGCGCAGCTGGTAAGGCGCCATTTAGATTCTTTTGAACTGTCTATTTGGATATAAAACAATAGCGTTTAGAAGAATGCTGTTGGATATCTTCATGCGTTGCTGTCAAAGCGGACCTGCGTTCTTCTTGTCTTTATGTTTGCTGGGAGAACACTGAAACGGCTCTTTGATCAGTGACTTCTTTTCATATCAGCGGCTTTTTTTTTTTTTGTTGCTGAGCACCAAACCTCCCCGCACCCACCTGCCAGCTGTTCTTTGCCCCTCTGACTCTGGGTGTCATTATGTGACCCGGACTGGGCTTTAGACTTCATTTCGGAGCGTTTCTGAAGTGCAGTGATGGGAGGAGGATGGAGGTGAATGTTGTCAGTAGTTTATGAAGTGAACTTGTGATCTCTCGTGTTTACAAGAAGCCGGGAGGTGACTGCCGTGCGTGTGCGTGTGTGTGTGTGTGTGTGTATGTGTGTGTGTGCGTGTGTGTGTGTGTGCGCGCGCTCTTATGGATGAGGAGGAAACGGTGGCAGTCTTCCAGTGTGACCTCCTCTGTGGTGGGCTGCAAATCTAAATATCAAAGGGCTGGACACACACACACACACACACACACATTAGGCTGCGTCCATCTCCCTCCTCCCCTCTGAGGGCATCAGGGGCAGATCAGGTCTTTTAAGCCTCAGGTGTTTTGACGTGTTTGAAGTCGAACACTCTTTCTCTCAGTCGCAGATGAAACTTTTGATTGCTTCAACTTTGCGAACGTGGACCCGTTCTGAACTCTGGGGTTTTATCTTTGGTACCCGTTTTTGTACCCAGTTTTTCTCTCCCAAAACGTGCAATTTGCCCTCAAAACGATGTAGATGAAAGTGCACGATCCATCGTTGAACTTTCCTGCTTGCTCTCTGACTCAAAGGCCGACTGACTCACTGAGTCATCTCCATACAATGTCCCTCACGCACGCAGGCGAGCGCGGCGGGGCCCCGGATCTTCAAAGTTGAATCATGCCTTTAAACTCTCATCCTCTCAATGTCATACTCAGGGGTTCTGTGTGTTTGTGGGGGAGCGCTTTGGCGTCTCCCGAGATATGCCGCACGTCCCCAATGGGGCGTCCCCACGGGGCGTCCCCACGGTGCGTCCTCCACGGGGCGTCCCCCACGGGGAGTCCCCCACTCAATGGCTGTAAAACGTGTGAAAACATGTGGTGAAACAAGACGGTTTTTTTTCCTTTACTCGTGTCATTGAAAATCGGCCGTTGGTTCTCAGGCCGAACGTGAGAGCGTCGCCTCTGCTTCGGGCATCTCGCGCTCCCCCGTCACGCTGCCACAGCTTTCGCTTCCTCCAGTCAAAGGTCACAGGGTCAGCGGCCCCGCCGAGGGTCGGGTGCGGCGAGCCGCCGCGTTCTCCTCACTAGCAGCTTCCTGATGTGTGGTCTGGTATGTTTGAACTGCCGTGTGGTTTTATGAGAGCTGTTTGCTGTTTGTTGTGGGTTTAACTCTTTCTTGCTCCTGTGATCTGTTTTGTGTTGCCGGTCGGACACGTGAAGAGTTGGTTGACCGACTGGTGTTAAACAGAATAAGTTCTGCTTATAATCGTCCTCATGAAGGTGTTTAGATCCTTTTTGGTTGGAAACATGCTGTTTGTCCTCCTCGCCCTGTGGTCTTCATTACACACTAAGCTTTCAAATATTACTTTCATGTGCTTCCCTAAAGACTCTGAGCCATATTAATAATAAAAGCCCAAAGATTGCATCTTTCTCGTCAAATTTGCCAAGATACACACAATACCTCACCCTATAACCAAGGGGGGGTAGAAGTGGGGGGATAATTCAGAAACTAACAACAAATTCAGTTTGCAAAAAGAATAAAGAACAATATGTAGAACCAAATACTCTTGCATCTTTTGGCTGATCTTGTTTTTATTTAACAAAATCTAAGAATTTATTCATTTGAGAAGGCATCATTTTGCCCTTTTTTTCATAATTTGAATGAATATCACTTTTGCTTTTGTGCGTTTACATCACAGTTTACTACGCCACTTCGTTCAAAGTGATTATCCTCCAAACGGCAACCTCTCAGTCACAGGCTACCCAACCTTTAAGCTCCGTCACATTGATCCCATTGAACTTTACTAACGCTTTACTCAAGCTATATTTGCAACATTGTTTACAAGCCAACACCAAATGGCCCTTTGTCGTTCTACAATAAATACTGATTATGCCATTTAAAAACATTCATCCTTAAACCAATTATTTTATTTGAAATGACGTCATGTGTATATTTGAGGATCAGTCATTGTTAAAGCATTTTATAGATTATTACAAGTCGGATTAAGTTGTTAATCTTTTATTCAGTAAAAAGAACCGATGAAGACAAAAGAAGCATCTCTAAAGAGGAAGCAGAAGTGACCTTACTGGAAACGGGGAGATGGACGGTCATCATCAAACAGGGCGACCGTGTATTTCTTTTATCGTGCACCAGTAAAAGGAAGGCACCGTGTGTAGATCTGCCTTTAGAAGGAAGGCGCGTGCGCTGCGAAAGGAGCCTCGACCATCGGCTGTGCGTCGGTGTGCAACGTTACTCTGGTTGTTTTGTCCGAGCACTAATGGAGAGCGTGCAATGAGAGAGATTGATTATGCAACCTGAAGGGCCACAGGGCAACTCCAATCTGGAAGTGCTTAGAGTCCGCAGCGAACCACAGTGATTCCTTCAGGTCAAATTGGAGGAGGCATGATCTGACAAAAAGGAATTTCAATTTGTTAGATGTGTCCCTTCAGACAAATGTCTCATGATGCTACTTATGTTCTCTAGGTCCTCGCATTTTGCGGCGGAGGACAATCTTGTGCAAGTACACAAAAGGAAATAATTCCCTCTGATCTTGGATTGTTTTGTTGTTGTAAAGTATTTTGGCTTCTTCAAGTTCAAACAGCTTGAATTATTCGAACCAAAGCAGCAGTTAAGACTTTCGGAGCCGCTGATGAAACATAAAGTGAACTCCTGTCCTTATCGTAAAATCTCCCTCCTTGATGCAAAATTTTTCTCAAAACGCACAAGAATGTTAACTAGCCCAGCTCTGCGTTTGTGTCTGTGGGAGCGTTTTTCAATACAATAAGCTGTATTCTTCTGAAATTAGCAGGTCAGATTCATTAATCATAGCGTCTGAGGGCTGCTTTGAACTATCAGGCCAGGTCATTAAACCCAGCCGGTCTGGGGCGCGAGCGGGCGACACGGAAACACTTTGGAGAGCGCTGGTTCACCCACAAGACACACTAATAATGACCAGTGTGTGTGTGTGTGTGTGTGTGTGTGTGTGTGTCACAGATGGCCACGTTTCTGAGTGCTATACTCCCGGCTCAGTGTGGGCTTAATTTGGAGAAATAACAACATAAGATGGGAGCAGGAAAAGGTCGTGAGGGTGGGAGAGGGGATTTCAACGTGTGACTGTGTAGGCCTACACGGGGTTTTCTATGACTGTGTGTATTTGTTTGCCTGCACAAAGCCATTTCGTTGAGGGTATTTTCAGCCGCAGAAAGTGTAATGAAAAGAAAGGCCGGGAGAGACAGAGAGTTTTTCTGTGCTTGACGTGTGGTTTCTGTCTCTCCATCTTCATCCCGCTCCATTCTTTCCCTCTGTCGTCTTTGCGGCCTTTTAAGTGCCGTCGCTTTCACAAACACGGGAAAGTGAAATCCTACCATCTGACCACCGCTCGAACGCGGAGAAAGTGCATTCCCATTTAAGGTGAGGCTCACCCGAGCGCTCTCCCTTTTAAAACCAACTTAATCAGGCAGGAATTTGGGTTATTAGGGTCAGGGACACTGGGGAATCGGCCTCGGCGAGAAAGCGCCAGGAGGCGAGGACACAGATGCGTCGCATCAGGAGACTATCTTCATCTCAGCACTCATGGGAAAACGGATGGCGGTGTCCCTTCTAATCTAGCTGATTGTGTCACGAGACCCTTAAATCAATTGAACTGTGGGTTTCTATGTGGCTAATTAGCGCTTACTGCGCATTAGCTAAAGTTTCCACTGTCGTAGTATGCTTAATCGTGTAGAGGTCTTTGGGGAAGGTGCAGCTGATGTGGAAAAAACAATAGCAGGTTCATTCGTACTGAAAACAGTGATGTAAAAGATGCTCAAATCCTCGGCATGGAGCCAAGAGGGAAACTACAGAGTTGGGTCATAGCTCCCTGAGAGTTTGTCTCTACAAGTGACCCCCTGCACTTTAGATGAGTGCTTTGAGTCATTGTTCATAGAAAGATACTGATTAACTTTAAAACCAATTCCAGAACGACAGGAATGGACCATTTAAGAAGAAATAAAGACATTACCATGTGTACAACTGTTTTTTGCAGTTTTACTTAATGATTATAGAATTAAATTATCTAGCTATTTATTTGTTTAACAATTTTGCTCTACACTGACTTACAGATAATGGTGATAAGCAGCTTATCATAACCATCAAAACTCTATATTAGTTTATATATATATTAATAGGTTCCAAGGACTCCGGGCCGGTTAAAGTCATACATGGTGGAGGACTGACTGTAGATCAGTTTCACTTTTGATTTCAAATATTATGCTGATGGATGAATGGTGCAGATCAACCAAAGAAGTCGTGGTTCGTAGGGACCGCATGTATAAAATCAGGAATGTATTCACAAATGTTTGAGGTGAAATCAGAAACCAGCTTGCTGGAGAGTTTGAGCTCTAAAGCAGCTAAATTAAGATACCATCATTTCAACACATACAACTGTGTTTAGATGCCAAATACATGGCTAGTGCTGTTATATATGGGCCAATTTTCTGTGCTGTGTTACATCCTCAGCCCTGTGAGGGATGTTTACAGCAGCTCCACGCTGAGAACTTGTTTCCGCCAGTGGCTGAGACGATGACAGCAGCTCCCTCTCCTTGTTTCTCTTTGCCTCGGTTTGCAGTAATGATACCGTCAGGGATGCAGCTCGGGGTAAATTTGCTGGACGCAGACAACACTTTAATGCCGTGTGGAAGCTCATATTTTACCGCGCTTGTT